AATTATTTGGTTTTTCTATTTCAATTCCATTAGCCCTAATACTGTGAACATAACAACCCTCCGACATATAAAACTTATTTCACTCACGAGTAAAATTATCCTTATGCCTAGAAAACTACGCATGCATCAAAGAATCACCACTACAAAATTTCCTCTAAGAGCAAACGCTCGGACGATCTGTATTGACTTTCCTTTCTGAATGGAATGGAATAAATCGCAAATATTTAAAATTATTCATGGCCGCGAGAATTCCGGTTTTAACATATAGATTAAAAATTATTATGATTATTGTTATAAAATGTATGGTATTTATGGTTTCTGGTGTTTAATAAACGAGAAATTAATTTAATATTAATTTAAAATAAACTCGCTTACTACGAACCAAGGTGATGATAATACAAGATAAGCGAGGCTAGTAAAACGAGTACATAAATTTAAACTGTGGTTTGCAGTTCATGTTGCTGATGGTGTCACAAATGTAGGAGCACACGCCGATTTCTGTTTAAAATCAACAACTGAAATAGCTGAAATATTTATATGTACTCGAGTGTACGAGGTGTGTTCAAAAAGTATCGCTAATTTTGAATTTTTTTGTGGCGTTATGTTGGTACTCATGTCTGTCACTTATGCCGACAAGCTCGGCCATTTTGAATGTTCACTTAATTGTTGACAGCTGCTTTGCTTGCACGTGTTTTGGATGGTCTTCGATTTTTAATTTTTAATGAAAGTTTTGCTGACAGTTTTCTTCGATTGCAGGGGCGTGGTGCATCATGAGTTCTTGCCACAGGGTACGGGAACTGTCAATAAGGAATATTACCTGCAAGTTATGCGCAATTTGCGCGAAGCAATCCGCCGGCTTTTGCACCACGATAACGCCCCTGCTCACACATCGTTGCTTGTGTGCGACTTTTTGGCCAAGAACAACACACTAATGATGCCGCTGCTACTGTATTCCCAGATCTGGCCCCCTGTGAGTTTATTCTTGTTCCCTAAACTGAAGAGGCCAATAAAAGGACGACGTTACGCTACGATTGACAAGATAAAGACGGCTTCGAAGGAAGAGCTGAACAAGATAAAAAAAATGATTTTTTGAAGTGCTGGGTAGATTGGAAAAACCGTTGGCACAAGTGTATAATATCTCATGGGGATTACTTTGAAGGGGACCAAATAGATATTCCTGAATAAATAAATAATTTTTGAAAAAACACAAAATTCGCGATATTTTTGGAACATACCTCTTATGTATGCATGTATGTAAAAGAAACTAGTTAAGCTGAGTAAAATTTATATGCATGCACAAAAATGTTTATGTATTTATGTATATGTATGTGTATGTATATATGTATGTGTATGTACACATTTTAAAACGCTTAAATTTTTTTTAAAGATTCATAAATATTTTTCAAAAATTCTAAATAAATACCGACCTCGCACTGTGAAATAAAAAAATATTGACATTTGGAAGACGCGATAGCCTAGTTGCAGCTAAATGCTTGCTACGAGCTAAAGGCAATCACCAACCGTATGGAGGAGGCTTAGAACTGTATGCACGACCTTATAGTTACACCTACGTATTAAACAATTATACACTAACAGCCGCTCTCCCACTAGAACTGCCAATAAGGTGGAGTCTGGCTAGCTTAAGTATCAGATTTTGTAAGAAATATGCACCCAGTGGTTAAATAAGTAGCTGCCGAGACTTAGTCTTCAAACTATCCTTCAGTGTTGAGGTTGGAAAGACCCAGTTTTCATTATGTTGCTCGTATAATACTTCGGCGTGAGGCAGGCGGAAGGACTTTTTTCGCTCCATGCCATGTACAGACATATATGCGTAGCCGCTAAGGCAAGATTGCCGTTACATGTACATTAGTAGCCTGCTTTCATATACATTACGAGCTAATTATTAAAAGCTTTGATGTCTTGAAATTTCGAGTTAGAAAGTAGACGGTCGCTATATAACTTCTTTTCGTTTTCGGCTGAGGCAAGAATGAGCTTTTCACACCAGTTACTAATAGACGGGCACCTTTCTTCAGTCCTGTGTTAGCTTTTGTCATTTTCTTTGATTGGCAGTTAAGAATAAGTTTAGATAAAAGCCATTTATTATTCTTACCTAGCTGATTCGAAACGGGACAGTTAAGTTTCTACTTCAGGTCTTAATTTTCAATACGCCGGTTCAGATCGGAGCCACATACTGGAAGACGGAAGTTACGACTGTACTAAGTAGTTTCCTTTTAGTTATTCGAGACCTGCCAATATTAAGTTTTTTGGTTGGTTGGTTGGTTGCTATGTTAAAATAGGGAAGTTGAGGACTTGAATGCAAAGCCGTACCTAAGACATTGAGAAGGCTCATTGTGCTGCTCCGTATATCCCAACTAAGCATTTTAGTTTCTTCCTACCATGAGTGCTCACCTCCGTAAAGTTCGAGCACAGCAAAAAATTTAAAGTCTCCATCGGCTGAAGGGCGGACACTAGCAAAGGTAGTGTCCTAGCATTTCGTCATCTTTTATGCATGCCCAGCGCTCAGCCGGATATACTTCACATAGCTTAAGTAGATGATATCTCAACCCGTTTGATAAACCATTAAGAATTCTAAGTTTTATTTTGTTTAAATACGAGTTCTGTCTACTAGCAACGCGGTCTCATAATAGTTTAGTGGTACGTCTTACGTTAGAAGACCTTCTAGACCATAAGTGTTCGTACTTGGTCCTTATTGTGTCCGCTTTACCAAGTAGTATGGCCCTTTTTCTTTAATTTCGACCACCACGCTAGTGAGGGGTCTTACGGCACTTGTGCTAAGCCAATGCACTAGGTGAGATCAGAGCTCCCGTTGTGATGCAATAACTCTTCCGCAGCTGTTTTAAATTCGTGGTGTTTTACTGTCTTTAACACGTTCTCTCCAGATAAGTTTTTATCAAGAATTACCAAGAGATCCTTAACAGAGTTGTTAATTCTTGAAGTTGGTGAGCATTATGGATGTACTTTCGTCTCTCTAGTAAAGAGATAGATCTCCGATTTTTCCGGGTTTGTTGACTGCTTGCCTCTCAGCGATGTTGAGGCATATTACACGAGAGGCGGGAATGATTCTTTGATACCTTTCTGGTTTTGAACTCTAAAAGGCTTTAATTACTGGCTGCGGCAAGAAATAACGGTTAAACCGTAATAGTTATTTGCACCACTTTATTACAGCTGATGGTGGAATCATTGGCAGGTGTCATCAAAAAACTCACCTCGTTTCTTCAGCAATCCTATTCCGATAAGGATTTCTAAAGTAGTAAAAAGTTATTAATTTTTTCTCTTATTAAACTATCTTCAGAATATTATCCTAAACTTACAAGTAGTCGATACCAATAAAGGTTTCAGAGATGCGGCGTACTCAACGCTTTCAACTTTGAATGCGTTTTTTCAATATCTTCGAGATTCTGGTTGAAGTATTGTACTTTTGTTTTTTGCGGCCGCGATAGCCGAATGGTTAGCATTGCATACTGCCATTCGAAAAACTAGGGTTCGAATCCCAATGTCGTACTATCATCCAAAAAGTTATAGAAATTTAATTTAAATAAAAAATTAAGCAAAATTTTCTAATTGCAGCCGCTCCTCGGCAGGGAATGTCAAATCCGCCTAGTATATTCTTGATAAGAAATAAAAGATTCTCATAAAAAAACATCAGCCGTTCGGAGGCGGCTTAGTATACACTGTAAGTCCCATTTTTTGGAAAGATATAAAGACGCAAAACCACAAATTGAGGAGAAGCTCCGCCGAAAATCGCTTCATTTTTTTTTAATTTATTTTTTTTTAAGAAAATTTGTCCAAAATATAATTATCAATTTTTTTATATTTTCCTTCGTTTAAATTCTTCGTAATTAAGAGACACGGTGCCGTTACTTTTGCATTGAATGATTCTTTCATGAGTTCTACACTTTTTTCCGAACTCACCAGAAATTACGTCGAAATGGCGGAATTATAAATATTTATTTTTAAAACTTGAAAAAACTCCATTTCGAAAATATATATTCAAGACAGTAAGAATTGTGAATAAAATAATTTTTTGTATATTTTTTTTTTTTTTAAATATACCATTTTCCCCGAATAACCCATTTACATGACTAATTTCAATTCAAAAGGGACATTTTACTTAGATAATATTTTGCAGGGAACAACGTTCATCAAAGATGAGCAACGCAAATCGACTGATCATTATGCTAACTAAACACATGTGTATATGTATTTGTGTGGTTTTAAATTTCTTGTTGAAGTAATAGATAGTATAATATATGCATACATACATAATAATATATATTTACATATGCATATAATTCGATTTCGCAAAGAATGCGACAATGATGGATACTGAAGAAGCTCAAGGCCGGGCATGACATCATCAAAATGTGTGCCGTCTAGCAATGAAAACAGAAATCGATATGATTGACTGAAAAAGTATTTTGCTATAAGATCAACATATCTGGTAATAATTTTTGATCAGGTTTTTAATTGTGCATACTACCAAACAAACAAATAACAAGCAGACAGTTTACACTGTGATTATTATAAGTTGGGTTGGGCTAAAATTGTCAAAATGTTAATAGTGAGCGAATACGAATTTTCAACATTTTATGTGTTAGGCGGAATTCAAGGCGTAGCGAAGAGTATAATATCAAAAGGTTTAAGAGTTAGGAATGAATCAACAGTCAACGTTTTTCAAGAATTTAATGAAATAATTAATTTTCACACTCGAAGCCCACGTCTTGTTTACCACAGCCGTGCGTTTGTGATGAAAAATCTTAAAAGTAGCTAAATGTTCGATTATTTCAGTTTCAGAAACCCAAAACAATATTTATATACGCTCAAAGTATAAAAAGTCACCCAAATATGATTTTTCGAAATAACGTTTTGCATATAATTTATTTCATTTTAAGTTGAATATTTATAGTTAAAACATGATCTGTCGTGTCAGCTAGCAATTCAATATATATACTTGTATAAAAATATTTGTAAAATTTAATTTAAATAAATGTGGTATGTTCCGTAAAAGCGCCACATAAACGTACTTCTTCGCCAACTACAATTGCTCTCAAGTAGTGCGGGCAACCAGATAGCTCTTCGCGCGCACGTAAAACATATTCCTTCGTTATCAAACACTTTTGCATTTCACTCTCATTACTATCAATAATGTGTTGCCCAATTGTATTTGCTATATTACAACTATTACCATTTTCAATAGTTTCTTGAAACTTTTGCTTGACTTCTCCAAATGTTATGCACTCTGCAGAGCCTGTCAGTCGTTCAAAACACTTAAATTGAAAGAATTGTGCTTCTAGTTTCTCAAGTTTTTCGATGAGGCATACGATTTTGGCTGTCGCGTCTTCGATGCTGGAAATCTCTTCGTTGAATAGTTCCTCGTTACGTGATAAATGACATAAGTCGGCGAGTAATTCATCAACTTTAATCTCAAAAATATCAAATATTTTCTCAGTTTCTAAAACATCCTGTAATAAAAGAAATTGCATTAAATTTTGTTGAACTATCATAGTTTTATTTTATAAAACTTTACCTTAAACTTTATTATCGCAGCATGCAGAACCGTTATTATTACCAATTTGCTGATTTCATTTATATTTCTGGACTCTAAATAAGACATAACCTTTTCGCCCTCTGTCGTTTCATCAAATAACCGCTTCTGCTCCACAGATCAACATACAAGCAAAAACAAATGTCGAGAATAATATTCAATAATAAGGAAATAAAAGGATGTCATTTTTAATAATTTTCAAGAAGACAAAACTAGTCCAGAAGGTCCAACACTAATAATTCTACAAGTAAAATGTTCGGTGACATTTATTTCAAGTAAAAAATCAGACCTCCTGGGAACAAACCACCTTAAGGAAAATAGGTTAGAGTAACTTCTTCTTAGTTAATAGTGTATGCTTATAACAGTCAGTCTAATTAGAATCGATTCAGTTCAGAAAATCTATGTTTACCTGTTTGTAAGCTGGCACTGGTTTCGCATCTTGCCACATTTTCTGCCAAGTGTTTCCTGGCGCTTCCATGCGCGCACTTAACTTTCCCAATCCAGAATCATCTAAAAAAAAATTGAAAAGTCTATTATTATGTTAAAAGTTTATAAATTCAAATGTACCTTCTTCCCAGTCTCTTGGACTGTACCAACGTATAAAATCTTCCAGTTTTCCATTCGGATTGGCAGCCTTGAAAGCTTCCATATCGGAAAGTAATGAAGAACACATTAGCTGCATACTCAAATCTGTAGCGGTTTAAAGCAGTACTGGTATTGAGTTAATAAAATTACAATTTATTTTTAAACGTACCAGAACCTGAACCATGTTTCAGCATAGCTTCTGCATCTTCCTGTAGTTCATCTTCTGTTTTCGGCACAGGATCTTGCGTTATAGGCACGTATAAGGGTTCATCGCAACCCAATAATTTTTTGTCATCCAAACGTTTGCAACGACCTTCTGGTGCATACTCAGCACAATCGTAAAACTCATCTTCGTCTTCATCATCTGTTTCTTTAGAAGTCTCTTTAAAGCTTGCATCGGACGTTGAAGATTCGTTCATATCATTATTATCACTTAACGGTTGTTTCTTTTCATATTTTCCAAATATCGAACGATCAATACAATAACTTAGCATTTGCAGTTTCTGGTTTAGCAAACAAGTTCTTGTGTCAGGGAACGTTGCAGAAACACTAATTGAATGTAATATAGAGTATAACAAAAATATATATAATTATTAAATAAGATTAGATATTTTTCATAACTTTGCGAAGCTACAAAAATTAACTTCAGATTAGATGCAGTAAGAAAACCAGTTGGGAAAACTAGTTAACTGAAGTTGGCGATAGTAAATATTTGATGAAAAATTCTTGATTCACTTTCCGTTGACTTTCAAATGTATTTTTATTAAGCTTTTTGGTTCAGATTCCTACTAACCACATCTAAAAAGTATTTTTTTATTTAAATCCGGTTGTTTATTAACAATCTATGTCAGTATTTGTGAATGTAATCTTTACAGAGGTGGTTACTCCTCTGCCCATAGAAAGCATTGGCCGTTTGAACTCTAGCGCCCTCCATATCACTATGTATAATGTATATATATAATTGGCGCTTTTCAGCCGAGCTCATGCTCTAAATACAAGAACCTGCAATTTACTCTGAGCCACCTCCAAACGGGCGATGGTTTTTTATGTGGCTCTTTTATTTCGTGTCATAAATACACTGAAATGGATTGGCATTCTCTGGCGAGAGTCGAATACAATTAAAAAAATAAGTATTCTATAATTTTGTATCATCCTCCACTTATAGATAGGCAAGTAGGAATGCTGACAGAAAAATACTAACCCCAGGCCCAAGAGGCATCATATCAATGATCCTTGATATTCCAGCTATCTCGTTTCAACACTTTAAATGCAGTCTTTTCGATGAAATTTTCAGGAAATGTATGATTATGTAAGTTTAATTATTCCCTTCAAATTTGCAGCCAAGACAACGCCTACAACAAATCAACCCAATTTTTTACCCGCTATTGTGGTTACACATCTTTACCGCCTAAGTGATTTTCGGCCAAGCTCCTCTTTTTATCAGTGATTTTGAGTCTTGATGTGGTAATGGAAGTATCCTACAGGAGGTACCTACAGTTTATACTAAGCCGCCTCCGAACGGCTGATGGTTTTTTTTATGAGGATCTTTATTTCATGTCAGAAATACACTTGGAGGGGTTGACATTCCCTGCCGAGGGGCGACCACAAATAGAAAATGTAACTTAATTTTTTATTTAAATTATTTTCTATAACTTTTGGGTTTTGAACCCGAGCCTTCCGAATGGGTGAACGATATGCTAACCACTGAACTCTTCGCACGAATATCAAATAAACTTATCTCTTGAACGTGCATACAGGCACAGTATTAAAGCATTATCCCTAAGTGTACGAATATACTGCACAATCCCCCGCCTGACTTCTGGGAAGCTGATGTTAGCTACAATAGAGGCGAATGGCTGGAGGTCAGAATATACAGACAAAGGCCGATTGTGGTACCGCTATTTGGCTCCAGTGTTCACCTTCTCAAATGATCGAACCATTTCATTGATTTCCAATTTCCGCTGAGGCTAGCTCAGCGAGGCAGTCGAAGAAAGTTCTTCCCAGTAAATTATGTCGCGCAGATGACAGGGCTGGGCTGTGAAAGAGGTAATGCTCGATAGACTCCACCTCCTCTACGTCCCTACAGCTGCGACAAGAATCATTACAGTGATTGCCCAATATTTTCCCGTGGAGTTCCATTAATATGTGTCCAGTTATTATGCCAGTTATTATGTTAATGGATCACTTTGTCCTGGTACCGATCTAAAAGGATGAGATGTTTTGATCTTTTCCCGTAAAACATCGGTCGTAGCTATCTGGTCACGTTTGTTGGCATTGTTTCATCATTTTATGGCCACTTTTGACATGGTACATTACACCGTAAAGATCTGATGGCAGCTTGACTGTCGGAGTATATAGTAACCGATTGTAGTTCTGACGTAGAGTTGAGTAACCATTCGACAGTCTCCATGATTGCAATGAGATTCGCTTGAAAAAGGCTTCAATGGTCTGGCAGTCCAATGAGAGTAAAAGAGAGTAAATTTCGCAGCCCACTTTTCCATCCATTTTCAAAGATGGTTCTAAAATGAACGCATGAGTGAGGGTATGCGGAGGCCCAACTAAAGATAAGAAAGTCGTTTATGCTGTCAAACTATTGGAATTCCTTTCAGGCAAAAATATTTGCTACAAAAATAATGGCAGAGCTACTGCAGGATGTTGGCTTTGAAAGAAAAATATAAACATTTATATGGATAGCCAAGTGGACATGAAGGCCTCAATTTCATACAGCACAAAGTTGGTTGTGGTCGCGCTATGTAGAGTTGCGATAAAAAATACTGTCAGAAAAAAGAAGAGCTTACATTTAACAAGTACCAGGTCACACGGTCATTTAAGACATTGAGTTAGCTTACGAACACGCTAAGGGTGCACGGAGAAGTGAAGAAAACGAAATAAGTAAACTTGTTTCGTCCGGCTAATAGACTTTGGGGACGAGTTAAGAGCTACAGAATCACGAAGCCCATGTGCAACACTTGTGATGCTAAATTTACAAGGTTTTTACTAGCGGTAAAGAGGCCGGGCTCTAGGCTGCTGGTGTGACATCGCATGCTATCTGGTTAGGGACAACAAGTGCAGAAAATGTAGGTCATCTGTAGAGACAGTGGAGTACGTAATCTATGAGTTTCCACCATTCGACAGGCAAAGGTTGCGAGTATGCTTACTTGGCATAGAAAGACTACAGAACTTTCAATAGGCAAAACGAATGAATAGAATGTTTTTTCCATCATCATCGATTGAAGATCCAAGTGTTCGAAACCATAGGCTATGGGGTTGCCCAAAAAGTAATTGCGGATTTTTCATATAGTCGGCGTTGACAAATTTTTTCAACGGCTTGTGACTCTGTAATTGCATTCTTTCTTCTGTCAGTTATCAGCTGTTACTTTTAGCTTGCTTTAGAAAAAAAGTGCGCGAAATTTTGTTTACATTTGTTTGTTTGGCGTCAATTTTAATATGGAGCCCACAAAGGAGCATTTTCGTCATATTTTACTTTATTATTTCCGTAAAGGAAAAAACGCGGAGCAGGTTGCTAAAAAGTTACGAGATGTGTATGGTGATGAAGCCTTAAAAGGAAGACAGTGTCAAAATTGGTTTCGCAAATTCCGTTCTGGAGATTTTTCACTTAAAGATGAGCCACGTTCAGGTCGGCCAAATGAAGTTGATGATGACCAAATCAAAGCATTAATCGAATTGGATCGTCATGTAACTGAGCGTGAGATAGGAGAGAAGTTAAATATACCAAAATCAACCGTTCATTATCACATAAAAAGTCTTGGACTGGTGAAAAAGCTTGATATTTGGGTACCACATGTATTGAAAGAAATTCATTTAACACACCGAATCAACGCTTGTGATATGCACCTTAAACGCAATGAATTCGATCCGTTTTTAAAACGAATCATAACTGGAGATGAAAAATGGATTGTTTACAACAACGTTAGTCGAAAACGATCATGGTCCAAGCATGGTGAACCAGCTCAAACCACTTCAAAGGCTGATATCCACCAAAAGAAGGTTATGCTGTCTGTTTGGTGGGATTGGAAGGGTGTCGTATATTTTGAGCTGCTTCCAAGGAACCAAACGATTAATTCGGATGTTTACTGTCAACAATTGGACAAATTGAATACAGCCATCAAGGAGAAGCGACCAGAATTGGTCAATCGTAAAGGTGTCATATTCCACCAGGACAACGCTAGACCGCACACATCTTTGGTCACTCGCCAAAAACTGAGTGAGCTTGGCTGGGAACTTTTGATGCATCCACCATATAGCCCTGACCTTGCACCATCAGACTACCATTTATTTCGATCTTTGCAGAACTCCTTAAATGGTAAAACTTTCGGCAATGATGAGGCTATAAAATCGCACTTGGTTCAGTTTTTTTGCAGATAAAGGCCAGAAGTTCTATGAGCGTGGAATACTAAATTTGCCAGGAAGATGGCAAAAGGTTATCGAACAAAATGGCAAATATATATTTGATTGAAGTTCATTCTACTTTCTTTTAAAAAATCCGCAATTACTTTTTGGGCAACCCAATAGAAGTCTAGATAAAAATGTTCTTTTGTTCTTCTTAAGATTACTTTATTTGTTGTTTTTTTATTTTACTTTTCAGGTCTGACATAGACATAAACCTTTTGAGTTCTCGGCAATTTTCGATAAGTTCAAAATGTTTACATCTAAATATTTTCTCCTCACAACGGTTTTATTGGCAACTGTAATTGCGGAAACAAACTCTCAATGTCCATGGCAGCGGGATATACCTGAACTACAAACATCTTGCATATGTGCATATAACTTGGGACGAGAACTCTCCGTGCAATGTGATCAGGTTTGCAAACATATTTACACGAAAATATATTTAACAAAATGATCATACAAACATATATAAGGATAAATTGTTATTATTATTTTTCCGCTACAATAAATAAGTTTAATTTATCGACAGGTTAATTTTGCTGTACTATTGGATGCTTTAAACACATATGCCAAAGAGAAACCCATAGATTTACTGTACATCAATAATTCCACAATTAATGAATTGCCAAATAATGTTTTCGAAAATCTAAGCGTGCATAATGTTCAATTATCCAGTTGTCAGATTACTAAAATTAATGATGACGCATTCCGTGGGCAAGAAACGGTATTGAGAAATCTCAATTTGCAGGATAATTTGCTGACGGAAGTGCCTATGCAAGCAATGAAATCCCTTAGCAAATTGAATTTACTTGATTTATCAAAGAATTCCATCACATTTATACCTAATGGCGCCTTCTCAAGTTTGAGTAAATTGTCAACACTCAAGTTAAATGATAATAATGTTACCTTAGATGTTGCCGCATTCGGTGGCCTCGAAGGTTGCCTCAAAAATCTGAATCTGAAAGGCACTCGACAGCGGCGTATTCCTGAAAGTATACGTGGGCTAAAGAGTCTGGCATTTTTGGATCTCTCATTGAACGGTATCAAGGAACTGCCTGGAGCTGGAGGCATACGTACATTCGATGGGCTTGATTCTTTGACAGCATTAAACTTGGAACGTAATTTTATACAAAACGTTGGAGAAACTTCTTTTGCTGGAGTGCGCAAAACTCTAAGTTCGTTGAGTTTATTGAATAATTTAATGGCCGAGTTCCCCGTTGGCGCCATACATGCTCTGAAAGAGTTACGTGTATTGGACATAGGTTTCAATTTAATCACTTCCTTGCCAGAAGTGGCATTCCGTGGTAATCCTGGTATTACATTGTTGGCATTAGATGGTAATCCGTTGAGTACAGTACCAGAAAAAGCATTCAGCCATTTAAATTCAACACTTCGTGGTCTCTCACTGGGCGGTCGTTTCTTACATTGTGATTGCAAATTACGTTGGGTTGCCAAATGGATTCGTAATTATGACTTGCAAGTCACATCTCGTGAACGTAATCCACAATTTTGCGGAACCCCAAGTCGGTTTCGAGATCGGGGATTTTATTCTATACAACCGGAGGAATTGACGTGCACGGACCAGGAAATTATATCAAAGAAGCCAAAAGATGAAGAAGATGAATCGGAATTGCAACAGAGTCCATCACTCGTATCGCCCACTAGTACAGCCACAACTACAACCACACACAATATTCAATCCATGCCGAACGAGAACAATACGTCAACTGCAACGAGGCCAAAGGATGAAATAGCTACTTCTTCGCTAAATACCACAAGCACTACAAGCACCACAACAACTCCTGCTAAGGAATTACCAAACAAAACAACACCGGTAAGGCGAAGTGTTTGATTCTATTGATATTTGGTTTCATTGTAATCGTATTTAACAATATAGAACACATCGATTATACCAACACCACAGACATCGGCAGTACCACCTAATACAACAGTCATTAATACCAGCACAACAGTGAAGCCTGTTGTACCAGCTATTGCTGTAAATCCTGTCACAACCAATGCATCAAATAATATTGGAAATAGCAGCATACGCAACAACAGCAAACCGTCGTCCAATTGGCGTCTGAACAGCTCTACGGCAGCGCCAGTGATAGCAAGTGGCAAACCACACAAACAACAACGTCCACCGTTAGTCTTGGGTTTCCCCACGCAGCGCGACACACGCATCGATGATGCTAATGAAGTTCAGGTTAAGAATGCATTCCGGCAAGATAACTCCGTTATAATACAGTGGGATTCCGATACGGCGAACATACTTGGTTTTCGTGTGGTTTATCGACTTTTTGGCGAAAAGACATTTAAGCAAGGTCCACCGCTAGAGTCAAGCGAACGCGAATTCAAAATAAAGAATGTGCCTGCTCAAGAGTGTATTATTGTTTGTGTCATTTCATTAGAAGAATTACATGTTACACCTGAAACGGTACCGTACCAGCAATGCCGCGAAGTACGCACAGTTGCTTCACAGACGTCAAATATGGATAAAATAACGATTGCGGCGAGTGCGGCGATATGCGGCACGATTATTGTGGCTGTGATTGTATTTATAGCAGCAAGTCGGTAAGTCCAATTATATTCGGGAAAAATACATATTGAAAACAGTAGTATTATTTTAAAATTTTCGAAAAAATATTTAAAAACTATTTTTTTTTTTTGCATTATTGTATCTGTATAAAATCTAAATCTTTAAATACAAAAAAAAAGGAAAAATTAATTTACTATTTATATAGACGTTCACGCAAACTACAAAACACACAACAGAAGACACCTTTGCCGATTGGCGGTTTACCAGTAAACTGTTGTGGACCAGCAGGTTCACCGGGACCTTTGGGCTCCATTGCAACTTTATCAGCATTTAATAATCATAAGGTACTGTAATTACGAGTATATTATATGAGAAAACTTTATACAAGGAGTAGCGTTTTTATGTTCGCCAAATTAGGTGGGGGATGATTAGGCTCGTTAGAATTTAGTCTTTGAGCTATCATCAAACCAATCAACATAATCGGGAATGAAAAGTGAAATATGGCGAAAATCGAATATATTGCGGTTATAAAGTTCCTTATTAAGCAAGGAAAATCAGTAGCGATCAAAATGAATGAGATGTCATTGATTTACGACGATTTTTGTTCGTAAAAAACCATGATGTACAAGTGGCACATTTTAATTAAACAAGAAAAGGAATCACTTGAGGGCAACCCTGGCAAGCCTGGGCAATAGCATCGAGGTGACCAGACCAGAAAAATTGTCCCCAACGATGCTAGACTAAAGAAGAAACAACTCGCAGAAATGATTGGAATATGCGATACAATCATTTTAGCATGACTAAGGTCAGTGCAAAATGGGTGCCGAGAATGTTAACGTCTCTACGTCCAGAAGAGCTGCATTGCGTTGGCTGCCCTGCATAAGATGGGCTTCGACATTTTGAATCCCCCATCTTACAGCCTAGATCTGGGGCCGAGCGATTATTTCTTGTTTTTGAAAATTAAAAAAACCGATGCGGAAGACAGGGTGCTAATTTCGGCGTATTTTTAACATAGAGAGAAAACATATTTTTATGAGGGTATAAATAAATAAATTGAGAGATTTGAAAAATGCATCTGTTTTGCTGGTGAATATACTGAAAAGAAAAAATATTTTGCTTTTTTTATTCCTACCCCTTACCCGCCGTTCTGTGAACATAAAAGCCGATTTACATAAGAGTTACGTCGGAGGGAATATGATCGATAGACATTAGCATGTATTTGCATACATATATGACGTAGTTCATATAGAAAGTATTCGAGGCGGGGCGAAGCGAGATTAAACAAAAACCAGTTCACACTTCCTCAATTACCCGATACAATAAAAGAATTTTAAATCTCACAGAATAGTAAAAAAATGCATTAAAAATTTTTTATCTGTAAATTTTGCAAATTTATCAATCAACAAAAAAAATTCGACAGCCTTTCATCGTTCTCAAAGTTTCATCTATCGGACCAGGCTAAGCAAGTCTTATCAGCCTTAAGAAAAGTATAGAAGACCGATTCTACTGCAAATAGTAAAAGACTAGTTCAGGCAAAAGGGTCTTATTACAAACTGCTTTCGGTTTTCAAAGACCTTTTGCAGTGGAAAGTGACGTTCAAACAAAATTTTCATGTGGTAAATATTACGACGACGACGACGAAGCATGAATTTCGTTCTTTTGAATGTTCACAATAGAATATTTTGGTCGGCTATAACGGTATATGTACAAACTGTATAAGTTAAAATAAAAAAAGAATTCATGTGTTATGAAAAGTGAAAAGAAATATTTACATACATGTTCAAGTAATCGCCAATATCGATTGGATCATGTCATGACATTTTCTCCAATGTGTTCCAAAAATTTTGAATTTGTAATAACAATCGCGACCAGAAGAGGAGACACTATTGAGATCAAGGGTGATGCGGAATAACTGAAATTAAAACGTCTTACAGAGTACTCGCTGAAAGACGAGTTGAGTGTCAAACTGCTTCCGTTCGGCGATTACGAGAACATGATATGGCAGAGTGTATGCGAGAAGGCATACTGGCTCGCTAAGACCAAAAAAGGCTCGACAAATGCGGTCGAATGTGTAGGTTACGTTTGCTGCGTTTTTTTAAGATTTTAATGGCAAAGTGCATCGTGAACTCCTATCCCCAGGTCAAATGGTCAAAAAGAATTACAATCGATAATTCAAATGACAATGAACGTAAAGCTATCCAAAAAACGCCCTAATTCGTGGTAAACTAGTGCTACTAGCATGATAATGCTGGCACCTCATTGCTTGTTCGTGAATTGTTGACCCCAACCAACAATGTAACGATGCCTCAGCCTCCTTAGATGCCAGACATTATCTGTGTGACTTTTTTCTATTTTCAAAAATAAATAAACCCTTAGAGGATCGTCGCAAGTGCAAGTGCATCGCTGAAAAAACTAAAGACTATCTCAAAGGTTAAGTTTGAAAAATGTTTCGGAAATTTGTAGAAATTCTCGTTACTTTTTATTTAATTACCCGTCATGTACAATTATGTATGGCGGCCGAAATAGCCGAGTGGTTAGCATTGCTAGAAGTTCGGGTGAGGCTCTACCTACGCCCTAAATTATAGAAAATTAATTTTTCTAACTGTGGCCGGGAATGTTAAGTCGAAAATCAAAGTTCCTCATCAAAGTTCCTCATATATATTTAAGCATGTTATTTACGCATGACTTTTGTATAATCTAATTTCACTTAGGACGTTTTGAGAATTAACGAAAGTATTAAGTATTGCATTTAATTTAATTTTTTATCTATTCATAGGAATGGGATCAAGTATCTGCATACAGCGGGCGATCAATTCCGCGACCACGAGTTTATCCTGTGGAAAATCCAGATGATATGCGAAGTCATTTCTCTGGCATGCCTGGTAAAGTGGGAAAAGCGAGGTAAGGAAGCTGCTTGCTTGTCGAATATTATATTTCATTATACTGAAAGGTATTGTTGCACTGAAGGAACTTTAACATTTTCACAAATTATATATCCTCACATTAGCAGGACTGTTGAAAAGATCCTAAAAAATTGTTGTAATAGTAATGCTCCGCTAACCACATTAGTTGCCGACCGATTGTAGAATATAATACGAAATTTAAAGTTCCGTTAATGTATAATGAATTAGCTGTTTGACATTCCTTAACATTCACACCCTTTCTCATACAATTGAAACCTTTAGGTACCTAATATTCAATTCTACTCGTTCTCAGAGTTTCTTTACTTCTTTTAACCAATTTATTTCTTTTGTTTATTAATATTTTATTTCCCTATTCCTACTCCCTTCCCAAATTCACGAAAATTTCTGACCTTAATCACTCATGCTACGTGTATATGTATTAATTGTACAGATCAATTGCCGATGGTCAATCCCAACATAGTTTTTCAAATAATTCACATCGCGGCTACTTAGGCGCTGCCTTTCCAACAAATTTAATAAATTCCCGGCCAGAGCTTCGACAATCTCGACAGTCCTTGGCAGCCGCATCGGAGCGTATGTCTCGCGCGTCATATGCTGGGTCCATGCATGGTCCTACCAGCATAGCTTCGAGCACACGACGCTCTCGGCCACGCTCAAGATCGCGTGAACAACTCAATGCAGCACATTTGCATAATCATAGGCCTGGGAGTCGGTAAGTAAGAAAGATTTGAAGACTCTTATAATGCTCATATATTTAGTGCCTATTTCTTTAGTGGATCTACAATCCAGACCGACCAAAAAAAAAAATACATACATATAAAAAAAAGTATAAAGAACACTTCTCAAAAATTACTTCAAACTCATATTTTTATATTACTTGATTGACAACAAATTCTACTTTACTTAACACGAACACATGTCGTTAGATCCAATAGTGCAACAAGGCTATAGATCTGTTGTACTATACGAAGTTAGTTTTTGGTTAATCTTACTCAAAAAAGCAAGCAGTGACAACAAGTTAAGAGAGGAAGTACAGAAGAGTCTTTAAAAATTATTTCGTCTACAATGAACCGACCTAATTGAAAACATTTCGAAGTATACATCCTTAAAGGGTTATCATTGGGAACCATTCGTAGAAAAAGAGCTATTTTTAAAAAATTTTTTTATATAAAAATTAAGTATTTTAATGAAATCATTTACTGTTTTAAAGATATACATTTCAAAAAAAAATTCCGAAATTATCAAATCAAAATATTCCCCTCGGAAAAAGCTGCTTTTGAGTTAACAGTAGAACTCATGACAGAATCATGCATAATGAAGAATAGTGAATACCATAAACTAGAACTCGGTCCAAGGAAAATGAAAAAGTGAAAATTGGATTTTTGACAGTTTTTTCTTTAAAACAAAGTGCAATTTTTGGTAAAATTTCATCAATATAATCATAATTGAAAATAAAAAAGATCCTTTGTCTAATTCCTCGTGAATTGTATCGCAAAGACCTGTAAAAATTCCACCAAGGCCAGCTGAGCAGTTTTCGAGAACTTTTGACAACTGACTGTGAAAACACAGTTTTCGAGAAAAACGCGTTTAAAGCGATGAGCCTACCTGGCTTTGAGCGCGCTCCTTCCCAAGGCTGTTTTTCCGAAACTTTTATTCGGATCGATTTGAAAAATGGGAATAATATTATCGAGTTGTTGTAGAAATTAATAAGATGATAAAAAAAATTCGATTTTTTGAAGCTGTGTACCCTTAAGAACGCATAAACAAGTTCAATGTCCACTATATATAATATGTATTATACATAAAAGGGTACTGAGAACTAAAGCGTCTGCGAGTTTCTTTAGAATGAAGGACATTCATGCCATTTCCAAATTTTGAAATCCAAAACGATTTAAAAAATCGGTGAGGAATTTGACCTAAGTCAGTACGATAGGTAATCTCAGCGAGCCAAATGTTAAAGAGCGATTATTTGTAGGTCCATAAATACGGCAACTGATAAATATTAACACCCCTTTGAAGGAAAATTAAATGAAAACCATAAATCAGAAAATTATCAACAATCAATAAATGAACTTATAATGTCATGTAAAGCTTTGGGGTGTTATTTGGCAACATTGGATGTTGTGACTGACGAACAAGATGAGAGGTTACATCAGGATGTTTCCTTCATGGAAAAAGAATCAAGAATTTATTGCCAAACTGCACATTAAATAGCGCGTTTCAATTGTCTTCCGACATGTCAGAGTCTTTATACCTTTCGTGATCATATCAAATCTGATCTAATATTAATTTTATATCTGATTGGAGAAAGTTGATAAAGTTTTCCATTTTCGATGATTTTCGGTGACAATGTTCATTTGTAGATACAAATGTAGAATACCAAATTTAGATGATTTGTTGATTGAACTTTAACCACATCCTCAAATCTCAACATACCGCTATATGATATAGTCCTCCGATTTCGATGATTTTGACAATGTATATTTGTAAATACGAATGAAGAATACGAAATTTTGCGCCTTTGGATGCTTTTTTTTTAAGGAATTGGGACCAAAGTCACACATATGAAAAAGTCGTTGTATGGGAGTTATATGCTATAGTTGTCCGATTTCGATTATTGTAAGTACGAATGTGCAAATGACGCCCTCAAATCCTGTTGCGACAAATATACGACCCGAAATCTCATATATGAAAAATCGGTCGTATATACACTATAGTGGTTCGATCTGGCCGACAAGTGATCGATTAAATGTACCAGTAGATCTGTGTACCAATTTTGGTTGAAACATCTCAAAATCTGATTAGTTTGCGAGACGGGCGGGTCTAAATGAACTCAACTCGTCCTCCTCTCCTTTTTGTAAGTACCATTCTACAGACCAATAAGACCAGTATAATATTACCATTTCATGTAAAAGGTATGAAAAGCTAAGCTGTTTCTGGGATAGACAAATAATTAAGCAAAATTTTTTCGAGAAGAATCTACCAATAATATCCCAAAATTTTCCCTTTTGCTTATATTTAATACAAAAATATAATAATTTATATGTATAAATTTCAGATATTCTCAAGCTGGTTCTACGCACACAATAAATAACTACTGCGACACATCGGACAATTGGACTGACCATGATATGGATATTTACATGGCAAGGAACCCAACCACTCGCAACGGTCTGGTACCGTTATGAGGGCAGGTTTTATTCCCCTGATATTTCGATGATGTATTAAGTTTAATGATAAATTTTTGTGTCATGCTTTTGATTTGACATCTCTTTGAATATGCGGCGATATCATTAAAACGAGTATAAACAGCCGCAATGACGATACGAGTATGTTGTCCACGAACACGCACATAACATAAAACACGGCCATATGAAATATGACAACATACAATAAAAAGAAATTAATATGTTAATAAATACAACGAAAATATTTGGATGTTCCTCGACATAAATGGCTCCATGCCCGACTTCCAGTGTGCTGATAATAATCATTTTAATCTACGAATATAATAACTAAATAAATTCACGCCTAAATAGAGAAAGAGAGAGGTCTTAGCATTGTTTGTTTGTATATACATAGGTATACAGTATATATTCTTAAGGGGAGCTGCTCACAGAAATTGAACAACGAAGAATATTTAATTTATTTAATTTATTACAAATATTAAATACTTTTATACTTATACACATACATATATACTAAGCGGCAATAGTTTTTAAAAAGTATACTTAATTCAAGTATATAAAATTAAAACATTACGATAACAATTAATTTACTAGGATAAAAAACGCAGGGCAAAGGCAATAACGACAGTACTAGCGTAAGTATATTTCAACTAACATGATATTTTTTATTCTCGTAAATTCATACAAAATCTGTTTGTTTGTATGTATGTTTGTATATAATGAATCATTAGTACAATAAAATATACAGTTATTTTTATTGGAAAATTACAGTTACTGTCTTTGATTTAAAATTAACTTCCTCGATATACGTTTATTCAACACAGTATTATGAAAAAGTCTAGATTTAAAAATCTTTGCGGTTTTCTAAAAGGACAAAAGAGGCTAAGAAAATCTTAAACAGCTGGTAGACTAGGATAATGCTCGAAAATTCTATAAGAAAATGCGGTGACTTATAGAAGGTTTCAAGCTTCATATAGGTTTCAAAGAGCTGATAACGTGACCAGTACTCAGAGTATATAAGACCCTACTTAGCGTGTAGTGTGAAAGATTAAAGCCCTTGTAACGAACTGATTGGACTCAGAGTATATAAGACCCTACTTAGCGTGTAGTGTGAAAGATTAAAGCCCTTGTAACGAACTGATTGGACTTTATCAGTGGGGTTAAGATCTAGTAAATCTACCATAGACAAAAAAATATTCTCCATAACCCAAATCTTGGAAAAGACCCGTAAGAAAAGAATATTTTCATCGATATTAAAGCAGTCTTCAACCGCATGTCTTTCTGACGCTATATTTGAATTTAGTATATTACCAAAATGGAAATGGTTATGTAAACAGAAGCAGTCAGAATTGTGTACCGTTCGGTGCCAAACGGGGTCTCAAACAGTGTGACTCTCTGTCGTGTGATTTAACTGAGAGCATAGATGTTTCAATGTGTAAGCGGTGCATAAGTTATACAGAAGGTTACCCGTTACAGTCCTTATAGCACAGTTTTCGCAGACTTGTAACTTCTTAATCTGTGTCTTGCTAGTTCTCGGTGTTCAAATCGTGTGAGTATCAGCCAAAGCAAGGGCATCTGACGGATGTGACATTCCGACGCAGTATTGTATTACACACGGAACAGAAGGTTTGGGGTACTAGAAGCTGCTAAGTAGCCCCGAAGCGGGAAATGGAGTTAGATGTCGGTGGAGGTAAGGGTGTGTGAGAAGGTTGGGAGTCATACTGCGGAGAGCACCGTTAGACCATGTTGGTTTGAAAAGTTGCTCTAAGTGGGTAATGGTGCTTAGGGCACAACCAGTAAATGCTGAAAGAGCGCAATCAAACTTTTCAGTTCGAATCTGATTTGCTTATTTTCGAATTCCTTAATTTCGATAGAAATGCCGAACGTAGTTTGTAGTTTCAAGTCGGAAATCCAAATTAAAGCGAAATCAATTCTGATTGGCAAGGCAAATTTACAAACGGTAGTAACAAGAATACAAAAACAAAAAGCCTATGTATTTTTTTTGTGTAATCGTAGTTTCGAAAAGTCAAAAACGAAATTCGTTCAAAGTATTTTGTTGGTGTAATAAAAAGTTCGTAATTACAAAACCCCACGATTATAGAATATAGGGTGACGACAAGAGCGAAGATATATGTTTAATGGCGAAATTGGTCCACAGTGGGCTATAGTGAACAACACTTTAAAAAAAAAAATTGTGCAAGTGACAACAACAATATAATTTAATGATAAAATTTTTAAAGCTGAAAACTCTAGGTTTTGGTGTTAAGAAATAGTGAGTTCATCGGATCGTTAAATATATATATAATATACATATATGCTATGAAGTAGTATTGCTTGCATATAAATAAATACAATTATATTATAAAAAAATGTTTACGTATTAACGCCACCGCAACAGGTCCTTTTTTTCTTTTGCTCTTTTATTTTTTATGTAATTTTTTTAGTCTAAAAAATCACCAAATCTATTACTGCGGTGGTAAGTACCAAAAACATATTGTATAATTTGTTTTTTCGTCAGTATAAAAAAATACTTCCTATATCTATGTTATTATGTTCATACATATAGATTTCTTTTAAGAAAACTATTTTTTTTTATATAAGTATCAAATCTTGCCCACTGTATATATGACGAAGTTGGTATCTGTAATTGTTTGTATGACGATAACTCGAAAAAATAAAAAATTTTGAAAATAAAAACAAAACACAAACATTATATAGAAAAAAATAGTTTTGCCGATGTTTTTGAAATTATTAAAACAAAATTTATTTGAATAGCACTCACCCCGAAATAGGTAGTCGAAAATTCCATATGAAACGCAGTTCCCTTATAAATGCAAAATAAAGTTGAGCTAATCCGCTTTTTCCGCCAAAATGCGCATTGCATGTAGCAAGAAGACAACTCAGTCGACTGCACAATGAGTCTAAAGGTGCCGACTTGATACGATGAGGGTCAATCTATAAATATAAATGTAGATATTTGCAGAAAGGTAAAACAAAAAACGGATATGCTACCTCTCCCTTTTCTTGCAATATATCATCTGCATAAGTATAACATTTGTCGGCAGGATATAAATCTGGAAACAGAAAGCTCATGAAAGCCTTTAGTTCAGATTGTTGCAATGGTCCAGAAATTGTTTTCAATGTCTTTAATTTATTATCTTCAGTACTACCAACGGATCGAAAATGTCTGTGTTGTGGATCCGTTAAATTGCGCAAAGCTTTTGCCATATTTTCTTCACCAGACGACTCCATAGAGCGTCGTCCTGCGAGTGATTCTAAAGTATCTTCCATGCAAAGTAATTTCAAAAAATCCCTTAAGCAACTACTCATATAGGAGAAGGCGTGAGTTACTTGATGCATTTTACAATTTTGTGTTTTAGAAGGCACAAAGTCCGTGTAATGCGGTGAATCCAAAGCAAAATTTTCTGAAATATCAAGCCAAGTGTAAACGAGATATACTTCGGTATTTGCATATGGAAAATATCCACTCGGTAACGCAATAAATTGAGTTGATTTAATGTAATTTGTATCCATATCATTTTGTTCATCCGGAAACTGGCGAAAGGGTATGCTCATAGGAAATCGAATACGAAGAGGTTGAAGAAAATACGTGTTTCTCACTGAGACTGTAATTGTTGGTACATTTCGTGGAAGTTTCTCTTTAAAAATTGTCAACAATCCGGAGAGATATCGACAGTCTGTAGGGGAATATTTTAGCGATACGATATCAAAATTTGTACGATGTGTTGTATTTGAACCCACTCCAACAAAAATATTTAACTTAGGTTCATATAATTGCACAAAAACTGGGAGTAATGGACAGTACTCTGCCGCCACGACATTTGCAGCACTTAGAAAAGTGCAAACTTCAGAAGGGTTGGATAAACGTTGCTGATAGGGATGGATGACTACAAATCTGCTTAATCCGAACATACAAGATATTATATGTGTACTTTTGAAATCTTGGAATTTCAATGGCGGACCGAAGGTATTTTTGACATTCATTAGATCTTCATAAAAAGAATTAGCCACTTTTTCTATCGCTGACGCACTTCCAGTTCCTTTTTCATTTGTTGAGACATACGAACTCACGACAATCTTTTCTTTCTGCAGAAGAATGGTTTCCGTTTGTAACTTCCAATTACTGTCGAAGACATTATCGTGACTCGGTAAATCAATTTCAGATAGAGTCAGTTTTTGTATTGTTTCACCCAATTGTGCAATAAAAACTTCCCAGTCAGAAACTGTACTGAAATCTTGTCTATAAAATCCACTATCGTCAATTTCTTCTGCCATTTTTGTTCAAAAAATATAAACAATAGGAATAAATAACTCTTATTTTTGCTTATTTATTATTGACATAGTCTATGGTTGCCAGAAGTTTCTGAAAATAGTTCAAAAGTAGTTTAGCCCTTTAGTGCTGCCGAAAATTTGAACAGACATAGCATATAAGACTGTCATCCTCTTATCCTACAATATTTTCAATAGAAGCTAATCCGTTCACTATGCCAACTTATACTCAATAAACTATAAACCTTGGTCACCAATAATTTATTTAATTTGTTTATATATATAATATTTTGTGAGTTTATTCTCACATAGTTCCAGATAAACAGGATAACCAATAGAACAATGATTTAAAGCGCAACCATGCAAGCGATTTAACCAGAGATTGGAAAAATCATTAATTTTTACTAAATTTTATTGTCGTGGCGGGTCCTAAGTGTTAAGATTTACATTCATGACAAAAATCTGCTATCAAGTGTCGTGTCGACTTGTAATTGTAGTCCCCGTAATAAGTTGTTGTGACAGCATCTGCTCGACTTAATTTGTTGTTCTATCGTTTTTGCAGTGGTTGTTTTCTAATAATATTGCTCTTAATTTTTGTGTGAAATTTTTAATAAAGTATTAAAATGAGGCAATCTATCATTAATTTAGCCAAAGTTTCTCCAAAATTGAAGGAGTTGCGTATTCACCTTTGCCAAAAAGGAGAGACTTCCAAGGGAGCAAGGTATGAGAATAAAAAAGCACATTAATTACATAATGATAAACTAAGCATTCATAATTCCTGACTTCCTTGAATTAGTTCTACCAGTGTATATTCATATATACAAATTTGATAGCTTCGCTACATGTCCTCATATAGTACTCTTCAAAAACATGAAACATTCAGCGCAGTTCAGAATTAGTGCACTGTTTCCAATTCCGGCACACAGTTAAGATAAAGTTCACAAAAGTACTATTTTGGACAAATAAAAGTAAAACTTACACTTATGAATTAATACTGAGATCGCAATGAGAATATGTTAGTTTAAAGAATAAGATGACACACTCTTCCAAAGGAGGATACTCGCTAAGTTTTGCCCGAAATGGATGAGTAGCGATTTGCAAGAAAACTTGCAAGAACAGCTGTTTTGTTGTTGTTGTTGTAACCGCAAATTATCCCCCGAATTGGTTTTCGGGGAATATTGCGGGAGTGACAGTTCTTGGCCGGATAAAAATCCGGATCGTTCCGGTATAAAGACCCGACTGTCGCGGAAACTATTGGATTTTAGTCGCCTCTTACGACAGGCATGCCTTACCACGGGTAAATTCTTAAGCCCCTAACCCACAGCTGTTTTGTGCCCGGGATTGCTGAGAACACGCTTAATCTTTAGCAAGTATCTTTATTATTGAAATAAATGCAAAAAAAAAGGTTTATTCCTCTTGTTTTGTTATTAAACCATTCATTTTAATGCCTCAGTAATTTTTTATGTTGTTGTAAAATGGATCATGTAGGTGGGATTTCCACCAGAAATTAGTACCGATCTTTTATACTTTATGCAAGATGTGTTATCCACTTTTGTTGGATGGACAAAAGCTTAAAACGCCCTATCTTACTATACGTACTCACCTAGAGAAACAATTTTTACTTTCCAAATATAAACTTTCTATTATATTTCTAGAGAATTCGTGGAGAAATTCTATCCTAATCTTAAAAAGGAGAACCCAGATTTGCCAATCTTAATCCGTGAATGCTCTGGAATTCAGCCACGCTTATGGGCACGATACGGTGAGTTTATTGACAAAGCTTCAAAAAAAAAAAAAATTCAAATGATTGTCTTTACAGCTCTGGGTAAAGAAAGTTCAGTACCTTTGACAAATCAGTCTGCAGCAGAAATCCAAAAGCAATTGGATGCTGTAGCAAAAGCGTAAAGCTCAAACGAATTATAGCGAATTAAAACAAATATGTATCTACCATAAAAAATAAAATATGCTTCACACATAACTTTGAATTTATTCATTTTTAATTAGCTTCACACGACATTTATACAGTTAAATATTTGCATATTTAAATATAATTTAACATTAACAAGTTGTGGGAAAAGGTGGTAAACCAAACTCTTCTGGTCGAAAGTCTTCCAAAGACTTCAAAACTTTAGTGGCGCCTTTGCGAAGTTCTTCCGACATACGCACATCTGGAACCATGACAACTTGCATTCCTGCAGATAACGCAGCTGTCACGCCATTTGGAGCATCTTCAAAAACCAAACACTTAGATGGATCTGGCTTGTCAGGGAATCTTGAAGCAGCTATGAGGAATATATCAGGTGAAGGTTTGCCTTCTTTGACTTCCGGATCAGTTGAACCGCAAACACGATGATGAAATAAACTGAACACTTCACCATGGTTTGTAATTTTTATTTCGACCATATGTTCGCCAGAGCTTGTAGCCAAAGCTATTGGAATGTTGTGAGCATGTAAATGCCTAAGTAAACGCTCCGCACCTAAAATTGATAAAGTTAGAAGTTTAAACAACGTTGTTTCAAATGTGTTACTTGTAGGCTCGTATAGGAGCAATTAGTGTGTATTTATTATGCATGCTCAATTCCGCTAGCCACTACATAAAATAAATAAGATGCTTAAAAAAAATCATGTTTTAATGTTGAAAGCCTGAATATACATACATATGTGTAGTTTTGTATAAATTTAGCTAAGACCTGGTGTGAAACCTTGTAATTGGTGTATAAAAAAGGTAGACGGTTTCAAATAAGCATATTTTACTAAATAAAGGACAAGCAACAAATTATATTCACTAAGAAAATATTTTTATTTTCTATAATTTCTTACTTGAACCGAAAAAGAAAATCGAAAAGTGAAAAATTAAGACATGGTTTGAGATATTAGCAGATTATTTTTAAATAAGTATCAAGGAATGAAGCCGAGATCGTAAACTTTTAATATCATTCATTTTTATTTTTATTTACCGTAACGGCATTTTCAACTAAAAGCAGCATTTCAGGGAGAGGAACCGGTTTCTATTGATTTTGAAAAATATAAACATGATTTTTTGTGACATTAATATCACTTTTGGTTGAAAAATAGCAAAAGCTGCTACGACACCATTCCTATATAATTTTCTATAAATAATCTACCTTAATTTTTGTCCATAGTTCTAAAGATAATTGTCTTGGAATAAAAAAAAAACTATATTAAATTCAAAACACTTTACAAAATCAATACCGGTATGTTATGTGGAATCGGATTCATTTTCTTAATACAAATTTTTTTTATCTCTAACCTTTCATTAACGGAGAATGCCCCAACATTTCTTTACATTTTTTAGTAAATATGCTCAGATATTCTTCGACACTTATGGGTAATTCAAGCTCACTGACTGCAATTTGAGCCGATTTCAATTCGGTCGAGCCAAGCATTTTCACACGCACATCATGAGGGTATGACTTGTTAAAAGAGCCTGCAATTTGTCTTACAATTTCCTCATATACCTCCTCAGTATCTACAACAAAAAAAAAAAAACAAATTAGATGATTTTATTTTTACATTACCTGGCATCATTTCAGCTTTAGACATTAATTGTTCTGTCCGCTCTCGCTGTTTTTCTGCATATTCCTCCCAACTTATTGGTAAATCGTAAGAAGAAACAATCGCTTCAGCAAGTTGCTGACTTTGTAGACCCATAACACTTACTTTAACATCCCATGTGTAAGTTTTGCCATATGGATCAAGAATATCCTGAGTGGCTTTCGAATATAATTGCTCCGTATCTAAGAATCAATAAACAAATAATTTACGGTGACAAGGAAAAAAATAAAGCGAAAGAAACATGCGAACTTTAAATCTACAAACGAACTAGTAACTAAAAGAACAACTAAAAACTCGTCAATTTACTAAAACACATCCAAACTTACTTGATACAAAATTTATCCTTATGCTAAATTTTATGGATTACTAAATAAAATCCCAATCAGATGAGCGTATAAGAATTTTGCATGTTGTAATAAATTCACATACATCCATAATGTATCCAATAATATTGCAATGACAATGAAGAAAGAAGCGCGTTACAACAACAACATGAGCCACGACTATGATTAATGTCCTATAAACAACTGTAATTTAATTTGCAAAATTTATTTTTCACTAACTTATAGTGTATGGAAAATGAAAGAAAACTTTTGTTGTTACGGAATAATAATGCTCGCATTTGCTCTACCCTATGACCTCTAAATGTAATCCACTTGATGTTTAAATTTTTTTATCACCACCATCAAATGCAGAAGAGATAATAATATATTTGCGTATACTTGAAGATTACTATGTATTTACGCTGAAGTGTTGTGAAATTGGAAATGTAAATTTTGACTTGAATTCGGAATGTTTGATCATATTTTTTTTAATTGCAAACAACTACCAACTAATAATTATGAGCGGAATATTACTAATTATTTCGAGTTCATATACCCAATTAATTTCCCCTATTCTTAAACCCATTGCATCTCGATTTCCAATTAAGTGACGAAATTGTTATTACTGAATTTTATATATATATCGTAAATATGAATTTGGAATTATGGTCATACTTTCGGAAATTTCTGCATAAAAAGCAACAACTTGGGTAAAAATAATACTAGGTCTTAATGACTGAGAAGGGTACCATGGTAGTATTAGCCAATTCCTATGAGAAAACATTTAGTTTATTAAATTGTACAATACAAGTTTTTACGAAATACTAAAATAAAAAACATAACTCACCTAGCAATAAACCATCCATATCAAAAATGCAGTGTGTAACTTTTTTAAACTCGCACATTTTCCTGTTTGTTATTACTTTGAATTTCCTATAAAAACGATGTGACTTTTCTGGCTTTTTGTTTAAACCTTTAACAATTTGCTTTTAAATATCAAAGTTGTTTTGTCGAATCAACTATTTGCAATAAATTATGTAACGCTGGAAATTATTCTCAAACTTCTAAAGTTCGATAATTTTTTTTACTAAATGTTCTTCAATGCGTCAAGGGCAATATAATAGTTCACAGGTCACAGCTGATATGATTCATAATACTATGTTTCCACTTTAACCGCTTTTCAAGTCCTAATTCCCTCTACCATTCGTAATTTTTAGCAAAATTAAGAACCGAGTCAACTCAATTCGCCGCACAAAAATTTAATAACAAATAGTTTCTAATGTTAAACGGAAATGTATCGTAAAGAGTTGCCAAGCTGTTATATGGAAGGAATCACTTTTATTATTGCTAACGAATGACAGCATGTTCTAGAGAGCGAGTACCGAATGTTCTGTATCGAGAATACATCGAAAGAAATTTCCAGAGATTATTATGAGCAATCAAGTGAGGTATATAAGAGAGTGGCCAACAACGAAAATTTTTTTATTTGAATTATAATTTGGCCGAAACCCAATTTTAAATATCCATATACAGCTTAGAAGCGTAAGAGGAATAAAAAGATGCTAAGCCTTCTGTTTTGACTATATCGAACCACTTGGTTGTTGTTGAACTGTGTTCCTGTACATAAGTCTATGTTTTGTAGCCTAGCTCCTCCGTTAATTCGTGGTATGGTCGTCCCAGCGCTAAAATTGTCTAGCACGATTTTGCTATTGTGTCCGAGGGCAACAAGTTAAAGAACGTTACTTTGATACAGACTGTCGATTGATGCAAAATTTTTTATGTGATAGATTTTATGACCTGTGGACAGCCTGGTAGAGGTTCACCAAATGAAGCAGCACTGGGAATATTTCAAAGATCTGTTTCTGTTGCCGGTGGCGAATAATATAACCATGAAAAAGTAAATATCTTTCACGCTTTTCACTATATATTAAAAATATTAATATAAATAACAATCAGATTTCTCGAATTAGGCCATATTTAAATACTACATAATATAGGTGAGACTAACTGAAAAAATATACAGATTCCAAAACATTTCGCAGATCAAAATCACCCTTCTTCGGCATCTCTGCTAAGGTTCGATTCAGTCTGCGTTTTGAAAGATCATCAGCGGAACCATCATTGAGCATGTCCCTGAAATAAAAAAAAAAAATTATAATTTTAGAGCTGAAAAAATGTAAATGAAATTTCGTGAAGCTTACGATTCCCTAAAACTGTATTTAGATTTCATAAATGCTGACAAATTTTCCAGTATAGGTTGCGAGTGCAAAGAAACAAACTGTTCTCTACAAATCTTATTCATATCGGGTACGGTGCACGCATGAGTCCAATAACAGTCGTGCACAGAAATAAACGTAAGGCCCTTGTGCTCGCAATATAATGACGTAAGCATCATATGTGACGAGTCTAGCGAGTGTATAAAGTTTGGTGGAAATGCGTTTTTCTGTTTCATAACATTCGGTTTCTCATACATATCCATAGCCATAGTTTCAGATACACGTGTGCTTGTGCGCATCGTATGTTTGGCTTCCTGTCGCGTATAAGGCTGTACAACTGGGAGGCCAAGTGGTGTTACCCACTCTACATTTTGTCCACAAACGCCCGATATTAATCGAGCACATTCGGTGAACCAATCTTGTATTTCTCGTGTTGACGTAAACATTTCTCGCAAACTTTCAAATGTCTTCGCCGTCAAATAGGTAGAAGCAGGCCATACCCATTCTTTGGGAAAACTTTCAATATCTTTTAACTGTCTTGCTATTTGCAAGCGTGCACCATAACGAGTGACTCCATAGACAGTAGTCATCACAGTTTGTTTAATAACCTTTCGACGTACGAAACTTTCCAATGCCTGAGCTACTTGAATGCCATTAGATGCATCTGATTTTCTAGCTTTCTCTACTAGTGCAGCAACAGCGCTGTATACATCTTGTGGCAAAGGTGACGGAGATAAATTAACACTTTTAGCTCCAACTTCGTCACGTCCAAGAGCAGCATAATGTTGGAGGCCATTGCAAGATCCATCTTGGTGAATGGGAAATCGACTAAGGAAACCTGCAAAGAGAAACAAATTTTAAATAATAAAGAGCACTTCTTCAAAATTAGGTCGCAACATGCCGGTAGAAGAAACTCCATTATCAATTGTGTATTAACTGTAGAAATACGACAGTTTACCAAGGTAGACAACGCTCAAAATTTGTTGTCCCCTTTTTCATACTTTTATATATGTAACCAATTTTTTTCTCACTAAATTACAATCACATATTTTGTATGTGATAATATACAATAACATCTACATACATACATAGCATAAAGTATCATTGTATAAAAAATATTCTCACCTTCAGGATTATTTGACCTATATACTTTGGCTATTTCCATGCAACATGCTAACGTTTGCCACGGCTCATCAGATTGTGTCCACCACATATTGCCCGTCAATGGGTTATCAGCCGAATCAAGAATTTCACCCATAATTTCTTCGGCATACAATAATCGCTCTCGCACCGAGTCGCGTTTTTTCAAGCCTGTCAAGTTAATGCAATGAAGTTTGAGCCAACTAAAGCCGTCTGGTCCGAGCGGTTTCATTTGATCAAAGACAAGCATAGAACGCGCCAAATCTGACCCCAAATGGTTTAGATGTGGTGGTATTGGGTAAACACGACCACGAAAGTCCATATTATGTGGTAACCAAAATACTCGATCACGATACTGCAATTAAAAAAGGAATTATTGTATTGTTCTTATAATAGATTAATTTTAGAATATTACATGATTTGCCAGCGAAAGGCGATATAAAGTATCACACCATAAACTGTACATCTCTGCCTGTTTTCGACGATGCGCTAATTTGTCCTTAAAGCGTTTCGAGCGCTCAGCACTTGTTAAGGCGGGTGTTTCCTCATGAATCGAGGGTAGAGGTGGTAATGAACTCGGCGGTTTAGGTACATCTAGTTTGTCATCGCCACCGTTTTGGAATACATTTATGATAACGTCTAGAATCTGTTTAATATAATGTTTAAAAATAGATATGAAAATATAATTATTTTGTATGTAGTGGACGTGATATTAACCTAAAATTGAGATGTTTGCAGCTACCATTAAAATTTACAAAAGCAATAATACTAAATAAAAGTTCGTTCGACTTTTCAATTTTGACTAGAGAAAAAGATCGTACGCAATAATAATATGAGAAAATATTTAAGAGAATTATTTACAATTTTGTTTTTGTTTGAGGAACTGAAAACATTCATAAATTTCTTATATATTTGTTACTCTGAAGTTTTACAAAGTAAGATTTATTTAAGTGCTCCTTTCAGCAGCTTTAGACAAAAAAAATTAAACATTAAACAAAAACGTTCCGAAAATTCATAGAAACACAATTTCAGTATTTTCAAGATATAAAAAATATTAAGTGAAAATGGTAGCATTTACAAGACAAAATGCAGATACCAATAATAAGCAAAAAATCATTTTGTAGAAATTTCGTACTGAGTGAAAGTATGTGCATTTTTTTTTTTAAATAATACAATTTAAAACGCTTCACATACATCAGTATTTACACGCCAAGCCACACTCGACAGCTGATTTAAAGAATCTAGAGCTGGATATAACTGCTGCGGGCTAGTTGAATTTATACGTTCCCATTGTTGGACGGCCTGTAATTTACTGCAATAAAATCAAAATCATCTGTTTAAATTTTCAAAATTATACCTGATGTGGCAAACGTATCAAATCCGATTTATTGAGTAAATACCCTCCGTTGTTGGGCGTACTCCAAGGCTGTGGAGGACAAATCATGGGTACTAGACTTGAATCAAATACTAATGTTTGCTGACGAGACGTTCGCAATAATCTATCGATTGGAATGAATAATATCTTGCATAAAATTTTGCTTAAAACAGTATATGTATGTATATATTCACCTTGCCAACACTGGATGAGGTTTAACCTCTTCTTTGACTAAGCGTCCTTGGTTGCGGAAAAGTGTGTAAAATGCGGGTAAGACATTATGTTGTTTACTACTACATTTTTTACGCAAAATATGCACATCTATTTTTATATCACGCATCAAAATATTATGGAGAAAACGGCCGACTCCAGAAAGAACATTCGGGGGCCAACTCCCATATTTTATGTCCATGCTTGGACCACTAGTTCGATGTTCGTGCACTAATCTTTGCCATATTTGCCGAGGATTATCACTGGTATTCACTTCATCCCAGAAATCACAGTAACCATTATATATTTCTCCAATTTTATCTAACGTGCCATTTTTCTTTTTCATCTCAACTTGATATCTAAATTATTAGAGTAGAGTACAGATTAACTATATTTAATTTAATTTAACTTTCTTACCTCTGTTGTACCTTCTGGCCTAGTTCTTTATAAAGTTGTCCCACTGTTGGGCTAAAAGTTTCTGACCCTTCGGCCAACTTATAAATTTCTTTTAATAAAATATCCGTATAAATAGATGGATCCAACACCTTTAGATAAGTGTAGTAGTTCATAAAGCCATTTGGTTTGTAACGAATTTGAGCTCGTAGAGTATTTAAGTCCCGGATTAGCGCATTATTTATTTGAGTACGCCATTGTTCTTCCAGCTCTTTAAGTTTTCCTCGCTGAAATTTTGTAAAAAAAAAAAAGAAAAAGAAATTACAAATTTTTTAAACAGTAAATTTCACGGACTACCATACTATATCTATAAACTTACACAAAATTCAGCATTTGAAAATTCGCTTGTACTTTCAATTGACTTGATTGTTATGGAACCATCTAACTCAATTTTAAGCTGTTCACGTGCCATTTTCTCCAGTTCAGCTTTACTATAAGCACGTTTATGTTGCATTACATTTCTGATTGTTTTAGATGATACTTTGTTTGATGAAATGTCATCCATTGGCAATATGGATTCGTTTAAGTCATTTAGAAGATTGTTATTATAATTTATTACGGGTGGTGTATATATCGGAGTGAAATCAGGTTCAATTCGTCGTATAGCGTCTAATGCAATATCTCTTTGATCAGCGGTAAACACTGAACGATCCATTATTTGATTTAATGTTATTCCCTGTAAACAATTATATGAGTTATGTAGTTGTGTAAATCTAAAAAATTAAAATTATTACAATATCTTGTGCCATTTCTTTATATTTTTTGATTTGCTGGATATTTTCTTCACTTGTTTCCACTCGTCCCAGACATTCGAATATAGCAGCAAATGTTTGCTCATTAAATGACAACTTATCTTCTTCGATTAAATTGAATATATCATTGAACCGTTCAAAGGAACCTTTTTCTGCTAGGCCATGTAGCAGAATATTGTAAAAATCAATTGTTATCAGTGTTTGATTTTCGGATTTTTTCTTTGCTCTCTGCCTATACGCCAATAAGGTGGAGATTCCACGATGAACCATTCCTGCAGACACACAGACCTTAACATATGATTCCAAATTAACACGAAGTGCTTTTTCTTTTGACAAGCGTTCTTGTTCCTCACTATTATGTATTTTGGATTTGAATCTGCTATCATAATAAAAATATTATATTATAACATTATTGAATAAATTTGTAAATTTAACCTTGGTTTAGCTTTCGCAACGGCAGCATTTTCTGTTTTTTGATTATTTTGAACTTTTAAGGTATTTTTTTCGATACTTTCCGAAGAAATATAAGGCTCATCCGATTCTAAAGTATCCAATAACTCTTCCGCGTCGTGGACTTTTGGTACTGAGCAACTACGAAAGTAACAATGTTAATATATGTACATATGTCCATACATATATGCAAAAAAATATAACAATTTTTATCAAATGATCTTTTCATATATTTTTCAGAAAAGTTAATAAATATTAAGTAGGCAGTGAATTTCATTTTCTATTTATATTTTATATTATTACTTTTTTATTCATTTTCTGATCAAAATTAAACTTATACATCTTTTACGAAAATTTTTGTAAACATTGACATTAAATAAAAAGCAGTGGGAAATTTTAAATTTACCTAAATGTATCAATTTGGGTTTCGCAAGCATCTGGACATTCATTTCCCACACTTTCTAATATCTCCCGATAGTTATTGAAACTTTTGATTATGTTATTAATGTCATCAGGATTAGTTATTATATGTTTAGTGTGTTCTTCTTTTCCAAAGAATATTAATGGTTTGTCGTCATAGATTCCTGATTCCAAAATTGAACGGTCTATTTCATTTACGTCAAATTCTTTTAATATTAGTTCATCTGATTTCAATCTGGCGTTAACAGTTGGAGTTACACTTTGTGGTATCTTATTTCTTAGTTGTTTTTCTTCTCTTGCACGTTTCTCAATAATTTGGGCTTGCGTTTTCGCAATAAATTCCTGTAATTTTTTCGCTTTCAATCTCTTGACACGTGATTTTCGTTCATTGGCTGATATATCAGTGACTTTTAATAAAGAAATTTAATTTAAAATAAATTATTATTATTATACCCCATAAATTGGTTATGAATCATAATTGGTTAAGATAAGTAATCGGAACCATTTGAATAGAATTCGAGCAGCGTTTAATTTTAAAGTGACTTTATTTCGGAATTAAATTATTAATTTTGTTATTTAAAATTTCTCGAATCACAAAACGTGAAAATAAATAAAACAAAATGAAATTAAAATAAAATATAAAATTAATTACCAACAAAATGAAATAATATAAAATATAATTAAAATAAAAAATATATTGGTATAAAACAAGAACTGAACTAAAATAAAAATATACATCAAAATAAAATATAAGAAAAGAATTTAATTTTAGTTAAATTTGCTTACCTTCAAGCAGCTCTACATATTTAGAATATCGCGGCTTTACAGCACGTTTCTTCTTTTTTTTGAGTGCTTCATTTATAGTTGTCGACTGATAACGGATTATAGGGTTAAAAGAGGCATTTAGTCGGGCGTGCAAATTATTAGCTGGAAATATGAAAAAGGAAGTTTTTTGAATGGTTACTACATAAAGGTTATGCACATAAAAATGTATAGATTGACTAAAAAAATACTATCAGCCAACTGCTTGCCGTAACGCTGCAAAGGATATACAAGGCTAACAAAAGATTTATCTTCCAATTCCATTGGGGATGAATATATTAAAATAAATCATATTTTTCTTAATGTTGGAAAGCACATATGTGGATAGCTTAGTATCTGCAAAATTATATTCAAATTCGAAATTGACTTATGAGTTGGAAGTTTTTTTTTTTTAATTGTCTAATAAGAGATATGTACGTGAATCTTGAAATTCGATTCAAAATCATGAATTAGATCAAATGATATTCTATATTTTTATATACTTTAAATTTAATTCATCTTTTATACATGCCTACAATACCCAACACCCATTCAGAATATCGATGTAAAGGAATAAACTTTACATATTGTACAAATATTGCTTGTATTAAAAATGTTGAATTTAATTCTGTTCGAATTGTATTTAAAAGATTACTTTAATTATTAACTGCATTTGTTAATAAGTCGAAACTTTGAGTTGCTTTAAGTCTTGATAAAAAACCAACTGCCACATTTAAATCATAATTATTAATTACCTTTTTGATAATTCTCTGAAATCGGTTTCTTAAAAGAAAAATATTTTCGGGAAAATTCGAAGCTTTGTGCACTTTTAGTTAGCAATAATTGTACACTTTGGGCACTTGTCCACATTGCTGACCAAATGCGGTGCATATTAAAACTTTACATTTATCTGTTTCCAATATTTATATATTTTCAAATTAAGCATTAAACTTTTTCTTGCATAATTAACAAAACACAAAATGACCCAAACACAAAATATAAAATCACATGGAATAATAAACCGAAGTTGGCTGCTTTTATTCCTGTTTGTTTATATGATTAAGGCACGGTCACATAATTAAATTCAAAGTACAAAAATTGAGATACGTTGCAAAACTTTGAAAAACAAAAAACACAGTTGAAAAAAACTTTTTACAGCCAAAACTTAAAAAGGGTAGAAACATTTTAACAAAATAGCTGACAAATAGTCGATCGAGATATTTACTTAAATCATTCTCATACAAAACACCATGGACTTGCGTGATCTAGTTTTATTCGCATTGGCGCTGAGTCTTGTTTTTGGGGGATGAATTTAGCTTGCGCTTTATATTCAGCGTCAATGAAACTGTGGTGTCAACCATTTAGTCTTAAATGAGATTTGGTAACTCTTGTATAAAAATAATAGAAAATCGAACCGATGGAAAAGCAGTTTCTATAAATTAAAATTTCTCTTGCTATTTTTTTCTGATTTGAAATAATAGAGCATTTTAGGCAAGAAACATGTCTTTTAAACGCGTAAGGCAACCAAAAATGACAACTCAAGCTCTTTTAGATTTCGATCTGGGCGAAAGTTCGTCTGATAGTGATTTTCGCATAGACGAAGAGGAGCAAGACAGCAATGATGAAGGGAATTCTTCCGAAAATAGTAGTGATAATGACAGTGAATCAGATGCTTTGTCAAATAATGAAGACAGCGATGATTCCCTTCAAAATTTCAAAGAGTTTTCGAATGATGATTATTTTGATCCACCAACAAATGGTTACAATGACATATCCGAAGCAATGAAAAAGTTAGAGACGAAAGGGTATGAAGAGCCTAAACTACCAGTAAAACCAATTTGTTGCGTTTGTTTAGGAGATCGTAGTGATGACTCAAATGAGATAATCGAGTGTGATGGATGTGGTGTTTCTGTACATGAGGGTTGCTACGGAGTTAATGATAACATAAGTATATCCAGCACCAATTCTACCTGCTCCACCGAGCCCTGGTTTTGTGAAGCGTGCCGCGCTGGTGTGTCCGAGCCAGTTTGCGAGTTATGCCCAAATAAAGGCGGAATATATAAAGAAACTGATGTTGGGAAATGGGTTCATCTAATATGTGCGCTTTACATTCCTGGCGTTGCTTTTGGCGAAGTCGATCAACTATCTTCCGTTACACTGTTTGAAATGCCGTATAGTAAATGGGGAGCCAAAACATGTTCTCTATGCGAAAACACCCGATATGCTCGAACAGGTGTTTGCATCGGATGCGATGCCGGAATGTGTAAAACTTATTTTCATGTAACTTGTGCCCAAACGGCTGGATTTCTAACAGAAGCACATCATGAAGAAGCTGAAGTTGCTGACCCATTTTTTGCACATTGCAAGGTGCATTCCGAAAAAGAAATGATAAAACGAAGAAAACGGAATTATCACAACCTTAAGTTAAGCATGCAACAAAAACAAAAGGAAAAAAATATGCTAAAACATGACGACCCCTGCCCAGCCCAATTGCGTATTCAACGGAAATTACTAAAATACCAGTCCAAATATTCACAAGGTAAAAGAATGAAACCAGATCCTTGGGTACCTACTCAAAAAATGTCACGGCTTCTGACAACTTCAGCTTCTGCTTGTAAAAGACTGCTTGCAAAAGCAAATATAATGGCCGTTGATGTAGAGCTATTAGAACGACAGCAAGCACAGATCGCAGCCTTAGCTGATATACGTAAAAAGTGGCATATTGCACCCGCATTCAGTGTGGAATTTATTGGTTATTACTTGGATCGAATTTCACGTACAAAAGAACTTAAACTGCAGCTTTCAGAAATGATGGAAAATAATTTAAGTCTTTCGCAAGAGCAAGATATACTGCGCCTCAGTTATGATTCCAGACTTGAAACAAATAAAGAATTAAAATCAAAAAGGGTATGTATTTTATACATGGAATGAACTTTTCAACTTAATTAACCTTTATAACTATAAGACCGGATCATCATAGCGTAGTAATGCTCTTATGGGCATTTAATGGGTATTTCCTCCTTTTTCCTGTGTACTCGTACTAAAGCCATGGTATGCAAAATGAGAGCTGAACCTAATCGCACACCCTGTCCATTATACGTTACAAATTGGACCTGTAGATCGATGCCTGTCATGATAAAATATTATTTAGCGAATATATAATTATGTTCAGGTTGTTTAAAACTTAAGTTAAAATTATGTTAGTATCAAAAGGAAGACTTACCTAAATCGAAACCGATATCATATTGTTGAGTTGACTTGGACAAGATGTCCGTTTTTGTCGTTGTTGTTGTTGTTGTAGCGCTTTAGTGTGATTGAAGGCAATGATCAGTTTTTGAGATATTTTTTTTTTTTATTTTATAATATTCCAAATGTACCTAAGAGAGTTTATTCACAAGTTTTTCGTTAATAATAATAATAATTGACGCTTTGTAACCGCTGAAGCGATTTTCGCCCTAAAATGTTTAATTGCCAAGGTTTCTTCTGACGTCCATTCATGGCAAAATTTTGGACTTTTCTTATTGCGAGGATGAGCTTTGGCACCTCCGATAAGCTCCTTTGGCAGAAAAACAAAGTTCATGTTATTTAGGATGAGAAATGCGAAAAATTGTTTCAGGATTTGAAATCAGTCAAAATCGTGACAGTATCCAGACCTTACTTTTATTATTATAATTTAATGAAATCTTGTACTTTTTAATTATTTCTAGGAATCGTTAATATATACAATTACACAACTTCATAAGGAAATAAATCTTATGTGCCCGAACAAAGTATTTCCAAATCCTTCAAATATCGGACATGCCCAATACGATTCTAATAAATCGGCATCAACGCCACCAAGCAGACCAATTTCAGTTCCAACAGCAGCCGCTCTTAAAATGGGAGTGGGATTTCCCTTAGCACATCTTGGTCCACCAGGCACAAAAGTGGACTCTTCTCGCCTGCTGAGTACTCATGCAAAGTCTTCACCAATCGCTAGCGGAGGTGCCTCCTCAGCACCGAGTACTCCTACGATGAATGTGCAAACATTTGAATGTGGTATATGCAAACGCACCTCTGACCAGCATTTGTTGGCCAAATGCGATACTTGTAAATTACACTATCACTTAAGTTGTTTGAATCCCCCATTAACTCGCCATCCTAAAAAGTCGAAACTCTATGGATGGCAGTGTTCGGAATGTGACAAGTCTGAAGATTCTGAAGGGGTAGCGGATATACCTAAAGGGCCACGTAAATCACGCACACGTTTTAACAAAGACGGGTCGATTATTGCTGCACATATGCCGGATACGGAAAGTGATTCTGGACCACAACTTAAAATGCGTTCAGTAGACAATTCAACTCCAAAGGTTGCGACCCAGAAAAAAAAGGTTCATAATTCAATAACAACAACAAGTGAGAGTGATGCAAGCAGCAAAACTACTACAACTAAAATGGACCTATCATCATCGGTTCTAGGGAAAAAAACGAAGTGCTACGTTCCCCTACAAAATATCAAGAAGAAAATGCAATCAGTTGCTGAACTATCTCAGCTTTCATCGTTAAAAAAGCCTAGTAAGTTGGAAACATTCCGTCAAAATTGTTAAAACTGTATTCGTAAATCCTTTATGTTTTTTTTTTTTTAGCAATAAAACCAGTCCATACAGAGCTTTCTGATGAGCCATTGTTGCTGGTAATGCCTCCTGCTACGATTCCACCGTCAATAGATCACATTCCTGATAACGATCCTTTGGCATTACCGTTAAATAGTAACACTACTGTCTCATCTATGGACGATTCATCGGATCCCAATAAACAAGCGAGAAAGCAGAAACGTAAAGACAAGCATAAGAACAAGCATAACATTTCATCTGATACTGAAAAGTCGCCCAACAAGGAGCATAAACGCAAGCGTAAGAAAAGAGTGCATGGTCATGATGAAGAAAACCCAAATGAAAGCAATGGTGTAAGCGTTCCGAAAATTAAAATCAAATTCAAAACTTTGCCATTGCCTGGTGAAGTAACGCCGGAAGCACAGTTTTTTTATGTGTCAGCGGATATGGTACGGTCAGCTGAAGAGGCATCACGCCCAACATCCGTAGAAACCGTAGAAGATTTGACACCAATTTTGGCAGAAGAACGTCATGTAGAGGGAAACAAAGCGAGCACATCACTAATTTCGGCAGATTTAGCAGTCGCTAAAACTCATCTAATTACACGAAAAACAAGTCCAAGGAAATCAGCCGGTAAAAGAAATTCACAAACGTCTCATTCTAAATTAACAACCATGACGCCGTCAACTGTAAGTCTTGTCTGTTGTATATGTAAGGAAATTGGCGCAACAAGCAATGCCGTAACTTGTGATGAGTGTCATAAGCATTATCATTTTACATGCTTAGATCCTCCATTGAAAAAAACACCAAAAATACGTGGTTACTCTTGGCACTGTGCAGATTGTGATCCGACAGATGACGAGAAAAAATAAGCCAAACGTGATATCGTTTCGGAAATAAGTTGATTGCTTGTGCAAAATATATTTACACATCTATTCTTATTATATATATGGCTATTGACATCACTTCTTTTCATCTTTAACATCACTTCGGCTCTGAATACGTATTTACCGGTTTTCTGTTCAAATTTAATTAATTTCTTAAAGTAATACTGAGAAAAAAGTTACGAATAATCTTTAGCCACTTGCAAACTTTGTGGGAATCCGCTCTGCAACATTTATTTAAATTTTATTTATTATTATGACTAATAAAATTTCTTACCATGAACAATTTTGGTCTTTTTTGATTTCGATTTCCGTGGACAAATCAACATCTTTATGATGATTTTAAATATAAATTTTCTTGGGTTTTAGGTTTGAAGACGATGAAATAGATTATAAATTAAATTAAATTTATATTTTGAATATTATAAAAATAATCACCATAAATTATGTTCACAGGGTAGGATTACAAATTTTCATCCATTGATACTTTAGCACACAATAGAAAATACACAAAATATTAAAACTAACAGTATTTTCGACATGAATTTTTTGAATTGGATAGTGTGACGTCACTAAAAAGCACAGTGTGTTATGTTATCATAATCGATAACATTACTACGACCGCCGCAATCTATCATTCCTATAAAATATTAAATGCTGTTTTCTTTAATAATTGAGGTGCGAATTACTAATGAGAGTGTAAATTACGAATAGGAGAACGATCAAATGCTGTGAAAACATACTATAATATTTGTTTAGTTCTTTGCGAACTTTAACTGAAATTTGAAAACTTGGAAATTGTTGAATATTTTGTAAAAATGAGCGCACTGAAATTGAATCGTTTGGCAAAGAAATGTTTTTCTTTATTTCCTAATTATTCAACACATCAAATTAGAACTGGAAAGGAAAATAGATGCAATGAAATTTCTCATCGAAGCAGTGAATTGAAAATGAATGGTTGGCAAATTCATAATTATGGAAATTGCGAGGAATTGCAGTATGCGACAGGCCTTCGCATGCCGTTGATTCGTAACGCTAATGATTGTTTGGTGCGCATCAATACAACAACAGTTAATCCCATTGATGTTGCAATGTTGGGTATGTAATATTTTATGCTATTTCTTACTGACTGTAAATTTTCACCGTTATTTTCAGGAGGATATGGTTCGAAAATTATAAATATGCTACGCTGTCAAGAAGCAAAATCCATAGAGTTTCCTTTAATACTTGGCCGAGAATTTTGTGGTACAGTTATACAATGTGGAATGGGAACTAATAACAAAGTTGGTGTGGGTGATCGCGTATGGGGTGTTGTACCTCTACAAATGAATGGATCACATGCCCAATATGTTATAGTACCTGATTATTGTGTAATTAATGAGAAGTAAATTATTGTAAGTATTAAAATTGAAATATGAATATTTAGATTTCAACTGCTCCTGCTTCCTTATCTGATGAACAAGCTGCTTCAGTTCTCTATGCGGGTCTTACAACATGGTCAGGCTTATATATTACCGGCCGTTTGGGAGGTCTGTGGGGTGCTATTTCTAGCTCAGGTGGAGGTGAAAACAAACGAGTATTGGTTCTTGGCGGCGCTGGTAGTGTTGGCTCCATTGCAATACAACTACTTAAGTCTCAAAAGGTCAACGTGCTAGCTACTTGTAGTACTGACGCTATTGAGACTGTAAAAAACCTTGGTGCTGATTATGTTGTTGACTATAAAAATTCTGAAGAAATGCAGAGTTTAAATAAATTTGGGCCATTCGATATAGTATTGGATTGCGCAGGTCAAGGAGCAGAAGTTTCTAGTCAGCTTAATATGAAATTTCACCAATATATAACCTTTTCTTCTCCGATACTAAAAAATGTCGATAACCATGGTTTTGGTTTGGGAATGATAAAAAATGTTACAAATTTTATAGAAACCAATACAAAATCCATTTCAAAAAAAGGAGGTTTGGTAAAATACGGATTCTTTGTACCTGCTCAGCAAGGAATTGAATTAATACATCGTCTGGTGGAGAAAAAACAAGTATGTTTAATAGTATTTATTAAAACTTCAATTTATAAAAATGTTTTTCTTTTTCAGTTGTTGCCGCTTATTGATAGCACATTCACATTTGATCGTTTGCCTCATGCTTTTGAGAGGGTTCAAAATGGGCACTTACGTGGGAAAGTTGTGATTAATTCGATAAATTAATTTCTATAAATATGTATGTATATAATAAATAATACGCATATGCATAACTATAACATTATAAATGAATAATTTGGTACTCATTTCCCGGTTTTTTTTTTTTAACTACTTCCAGGTGGCCTTCCAGATAGTAGTGACTTAATTTAAAATATATACTAATATAATACTAAGGAATTAGAAGTGACAATTCTAACAAAAGGAAGGCAATTTTAATGTTAAATTAAAGCTAGTCATGCGAAAATTATAAATAACTTTAACTTGCATAATATTAAAAAAAAAAAATTTTTTTTATCAAATTTACTTAAGGGGCACACCTAGTGTAATGGCCTAAAAAAGGTGAGTTTTGGGAATTTTTATTAAAAAAAATGCTTTATCAATTATTTCAAAATTTGAAAAATATATTTATATATGTTACAAGAATATATAGTGAAATTTTAGAAGAAACGGCGCAAAAACAAAAGAGGTCCTTCACTGTTGCAGTGATTCCGGCCTTCTCCGTGGATGAAAGGTAAAAAAAAAATTCTCTACTAGATAATTTAGTCGAATTTTAGCCAACATTTTGGTCGTTTTTGGCCTGCTATATTATATGTTGCTATAACTCAAAAACTATTTCAGATATCGATTTGAAAATTTAATATGTTATTTTCAAAAGTGTAATCTACCGAAATATATGAAAAAAGATCGATTTTTTTGAAATTTCACACTAGGTGTGCCCCTTAAAGCAGTACACATTTCTGTAGAAATTTACGCTTTTTGTTCAGCGTATTTTATAAGTTTTCTTTCTTGTGAAATAGAGTATTAGTATATTACTCTCTTTGTATTCCTTCCATGAATATGAATTGGTATATTAACTTCATACCGAAGTATGTAAGTACCATATGTAAGTACCGGATAAAATTGGGCAGGACGGCTCACCGACAGGCATTAAACGCCTCTCACCGAGAGTCCCTCAATACATTCCAGAACTTTTTTCCAGCGAATGACATTCTTAACTGTCTGTTGACCTAAACGGGGTTATGACAGCCCTTGGCCAGATAAAACTCCGGTGCTTAGAACCGGCTGTCTCGGCCACCCTCTTCACCAGCTGGACGAAGGAACACAGGCTTGAAGGTCGATGACGCAAAAATCACGACTGTAAACAACCGAAAGATATTGAGAGAAACACTAGATAGCCTGCACTCCGCATACGACCGCAAAACTCCAGAGTCGCAATTGGCCGGCTGGTCGAAAATTATGCTGCACCTATTTGGGCGCCGGGGACGAAAGAGACACAGATGATGAAGCTACAGGCTTGCCAGAATACCGCTCTCAGGACCGCGACAGGAAACCACCTGATGTCGCCGGAGCATCACTTGCACAGTGAATCATCTATGCTACGAGTTAAGGAGTATAATGCTTTGTTGTGCAAGCAGTTCGTGTTGGGATGCTACCGCAGGGAACATCTCAATAGCCATCTTATCGAAGCTGAACCACACCCTAGGCACATCAGAAAAGGAGTACTCGTCACGAAAAACACCAGCAATACGTACGACAATCGTTGGACAGGACGGCGTAGACAGGCACTGAACGCCATTCACCAGGAATCAGTCAACACCTTCAAAGACTCGCTTCCCGTGAATGGCGACTCGGAGAAAAACCACCACCCATTGCAGACAACGAGCTCGATCTGCCCTGAGAGACTCGGCGTGACCCTGGCAAAACTTAGGTTTGGATACTGTAGCAGGTTAAACTACTACTTATCCAGACTCGACCCCAGCATATCCAACGTATGTCCTGCATGCCGACTCATCTAACCCCTAACGTTTCCTGGACCTCCCACTTGATGACCTCGTCGACTTAGATTGATCAAACCTGTATCTAAGCGGAGTTAGCGAACCGCTACAACAACAATAACATAGACGAAGAGCTCGAGCTACCTCAAGAGTTGCGTGTAATACTGGCCCAATTTAGATCTGGATATTGTTGTAGATTAAACTCTTACGTATTTATACTTGACTCCGACATATCCAACATGTGTCCTGCATACAATGAGACTCCGCACGACACTAACCGCCTCTTTGCATATCACCAAAAAAAAAAACTCAAAACTTCGAGCCCGTTTTGGGTCATTAATACTTCAATAAAGCGTTTGAGAACATGAAATTTGGTATTATAAAGACATATAAAGTATTACACATTAACAATAAGAATCATCGATTTGCGCAGATCTAAGATTTTTGGTAAAAAAACGCGTAAAAAAGGATCTAGAGCGTGAAATTTTGTATTCTACACACGCAAACTTAAATAAATAAAGATAAAGTTACAATCGCGGGGCTATACTCAATTCCTACTCATGCGTCCACGTTGCGCACCCTTGTCCAAGATACAGTAACCAAATCCACCTTTTCTTCTTCTTCATCACTGGCGTGGTCTCCAGGACGAAGTTTATCAGAGCTGGAGAGCTTTCATTTGGAAGACACGGCCTAGCAAGCATAACTTGTGCATCTCATCAAAATGGGGGGGACCTACAGTTTATATTAAGCCGGCTCCGACCGGCTGATGGTTTTTTTACGAGGAGCCTTTATTTCATGCCCGAAATACACTCGACCGGGTTTAGAAAATTTAACTTAATTTTGTATTTAAATTAATTTTCCACAAATTTTTGATGTTGGTGGCACCGGGATATGAAACCGAGCCTTCCGGATGTCAGTAGGCAATGCTAACCACTCGCATATTAGTCAATTAATAGATTACTAATATTGTACATTTTTTTAAATTTCAATAAATGAACGTTCTTTAAGAGCTTACATGGGTTCATTCGAACAAAAAGACCTATTTTCTACAATTTTTTTAAATAAAAACTTTTTTTATTGGCTTGAAGATATATGTACATTGGAATAACAATTTCGAATTTTTCAAAGAAAAATATTCATAAATTGTGACGACATATCCGATGAAAATTGTAACCCTTCGCCAAATTCATTGTGAATTATATGATATATCGGAGACCTGTGTGAAATTTCATTGAGATGGGTTGAGTAGCTGAGAAAACACTGCTTCGAGAAGAACGCGTATAAAGTTTAAAGCGCTGAGCCTACAAGTCTTTGAGGGCGCATCTCAATAAAAGTCGCTGTTTTGAAGCTATAAAACCCATATAACAGTTTAAGCAAAAATTGAAGGAAACTTGTTACGATGTTTACGAATATCCGCAGGAAATATCAAGCCCTCCGAGTGAAATGAAAGGTCCTAATAAAAAGGCGGCTTGTTTGGACAATCTCAATTTGTATTGGCAACTCTTTATCTATATAACATAAGCTTTGTTCGGTAAGAAATAACAGTGAAAATTAACCAGTAAGGAAATTGAGAGAATAAAATGTGTTTTGCTTCTAATTTGCTTGGCTTTTCACCGAACAGGATTCGGTAAAAATGATCCTGCAAGTTGGTTCTGTTCGGTGACCTGATTGGCAGTAACAATATTTACTGAATCGCGTTCGGTGAGTCAAAAACACAGTAAAATTAATAAGATTTAAAGTTTAGTTTGGAGAGAAAGTTGAGAATTCGTGTTGTTGTCAGTCAGTAAAAAACAGCTGATTTAGAGGACTATTTAAAAATCATATTAGTATCTTATCGTTTGACGGCTATAAGGCATGCAGAATCAATAAATTTGAAATGCTATATAAATGCTAAATTTACTAAAATACTCAAAAGCAAATGTAGCTTCCAAAATAAGCAGCTGTTGTGGAATGCTGTCTAAATTTTAGTGAATCCTGTTGGGGTGAAAACTCGGTAAATTTCTTTATTTCATCTTACTAGCTAAATTTTACTGACATTTCTCTCCAAACTAACGTCAAATATGAACTCTCGTTAATAATTTTACTGGGTTTTTGACCCACCGAACGCGATTCAGTAAAATTCAGTAAAAACTGTTACTGTCATCAGGTCACCGAACAGAACTATGCTTATCGCCACTCGCCCTTTATAAATAAATAGTTTACTTCATCTAAATATTACATGGAATACATGTTAAAACACTTTATCAGCATAACAGTGGACAGCTAAACATATAAACAACAAACAAAAGCCAAAAGTTTATGAGTAGAAAACATAAACATGTGCCGTTAAATTGGGAAACTTTCCTTAACATTGAACCCCAAGCGGAGGTCGCCCGATTAAAAAGAAGTACGTCATAAGTTCGTTGTGACCGTGACGTTTCAGGATAGCCTTCTAATTTGGTTTCCTTGCAAAAGTCCGTGATTGTCTGTAGTGGCATGAGATCATAACAAATTAGTTAAGATAGCGCCGTTGCGTATTGCCGCTCGGAAGGCCAGTTTCCGAGTCCTGATCCGAACAACATCCAATAATTACAGTAAATTAATTGAAATAAAAAATTACGTTAATTTTTCTAATTGCAGTCGAACTCGGCAGGAAATGTCAAAAAAAAAAAAATCACACACAATTTGTTCCTAAAACATAAAGATGGAGTCATGAATGCTCTGAAGAAAAAATAATATTCATACATTGGCAACATTAAATTATCGCTCAGTTATAGAGATCAGGGCGCGAAAAAAACTGCTACTAATGAGTTAAGATGAGTTGAGTTGATGTGGCTGCTGTTGCCAGCACACTAAGGCCAATAGGCCCATTGTGACACCGCTGAGGCTCCTGCCTTCACCTTCTCAGATAATCGAACTATTACTATTTCCTGTGCCTTGTAAAGGCAACGAGATTTTCAATATTCGCTGAGGCTATCGCAGTGAGACAATCGAAGAAATGTTTCCCAAGAAATTCGTATTGCGCTGATGTCAAGGCTGGATAGTGACAGAGGTAATGCTCAATGGCCTACTCCTCTGCTTCATCCCTGCAGTTGCGGCAGAAATCATTAGAATGATATCCCATTCTTGTCCCGTGAAGCCACATTAAACAGTGTCCAGTTATTATGCTCGTCGTTATGCTAATCGAGAACCGGTCTAGAAGGATAAACTGCCACTTATACAAGTTTATGGTTATGGTATGCCTATCCATCTATGTATCTGTGTGCACGACAACTCAAGTAAGAGTTGAGATATTTTTTTGAAACTTGGTTAACACATTTCTTGGGTTACAAATACGGAGGCTTTTGCAAATAGGTGACGTCGGACGAAACTTACGACCACTGCTTATATAACGGTAATTTTGAGTAACCAAATGCGCAGTAAAAGTGTTATTAATTAGAGATGGCTGCAGTAGGCAAGTTGTTATTTGCAGTGCGTTCTATCATACGGAAAGAAAGGATTCGAATCCTGAT